GGGGGGGGGGAAGCAACAACCTCGAAGCGTCCGAAATACAACGATAAAAGTGCATCTTTGTGGACCCGCCACGTGTTGTTTTTTTTTTTGCTGGCCTGTGTCGATAAGGCCTCTGTTGCTTAATTATCACAAGCAATATTTTATCGAAACGGATTAAGGTCCCTTCCAAAGCGTCTTGTTCTTGCTTACCTTGCCGTCGAACTTGGAGTACTCGTTAAAAGGGTTGTTCAACTGCAAAGGGCACTGTTCCAGCCGGACCGAGAGGATTGATGGCTTCACGGGAGCATGGGCAGGCTTCACCTTGAAGTTCTTCTTGTCAAAGAGAAGGCTCAGCTCCTCGGCTGGGGTTCAAAGACAGAGAGGAACATTACAGCATCTGACTGGCTAGGGAGATCCTCAGTCAGTCCAGGCCACGGTTGCCTCAAAGGGGCTTTTCCAGAGGGCAACTGGACTATGTTTTCTCCTTGAAGAAGACGCTTCGCTTCTCCTCCCAGAAGCTTCTTGGACATGAAGTCAAGAAGTCAGAACTGAGGAAGCTTCCGGGATGGGAAGCGAAATGTCTTCCCCAAGGGAAGAAACACAGTCCAGTTAGTTGCTTCTTGAAAAAGCACCGTTGAGATGACAACATCTGATGGATGCCCCCCCCCCCAAGGCTGAAACACCCAATGGAAAGCTAGTCTAGGGGGGGAACTGGAATTTAGCTATAGTTAGGCAATACGATTATCTGGATTATGTGGTCACTGTCACTGGTCAGTTATCCAGTCCCTAAGCAGCTACTTCATCATGGGTTAATGGCCAACAGGAGAGCTTCTGCAACGGAGATAAATTCCTTGGGTGTCTAATCACACTCGGCCAAATAATAATAATAATAATAATTTAATTTATATACCGCCCTTCTCCCGTAGGACTCAGGGCGGTGCACAGCATATTAAAACAGATACAAACAAAATACATCAAAAAACAAAAAAACCCCATAAAACCAAATTAAAAGCCAAATATTGGAAGCGGTGTGTCAATTAAAATTTTCTTAAAATCATCCCTACCTAAAATCCTCCCTAGGTCAGGCCCGCTTGCTGGAAAAGCCATGTCTTGAGGGCGCGGCGGAAAGTAAGGAGATCCGGAATCATCCGGATCTCGGGGGGTAGTTCTTCTGTTTAATTCAGCTACCGTGTTGTTGAGTTGGATGTGGAAAACTCTACATGGAGGGCGGCAAATATATAGCTGAGCCTTGAAGCGGACCACTTGAAGCCCATGGATGCTTGTGGCTTGGCGAGAGCGTCCAAAATTGGAGTTTCTAATGGGGATAGGAAATTTGAGAAGCTAACCATCCCTCAAGAGAAGATGGCATGTTTGAGCATCAACTCAGCCTAGGAATCAGGTGCAACTTTGTCAAGACGAGCCGCAAGGTTCTTGGGTAAGGCAAGGGTATCTTTTTTTTTTTTAAAAAAAAAATGAAGACAAATGAACTTAGTTGTCAAGACTTGTTGAGCTGTTGCCTATTACCATTGGTTTCTTCTCCAATGTGGAATTGGAGGGGGTTTCGTGACACATCTGCTCCAGCAACGAGCTGCCCCCAAACTCAATCCATCACCATTGACAGATCCGCTTCCAAGCTACCAATCTTTTCTACTCCTGGACCTGGAGACGTCCCCAAGATTTACACGCTTATCCCTCTTGAGGATTCGAACGGATGCCGAGGCAGATTGAGTGGGGACTTCCAAAACTGGAGGGGTGGGGGGGCAGGGAGAACTCATTTGTTAAACGGCAGAATTAAAACTTGTCAAACTCAGGGAGATGACAGCTTGACCCAAAATATTGTGATGGAGGAGGTGCAGCTGGGCCAGCGTTACAAAAAGAGAGACACTGAGATAACTCAACAGAGCCACGGAGGAGCTGGGCTAACTCAGAAGAGGAGGATTAAATTGTCCCTACAGGTGATCCTCGGTTTTCAACCACAATGCAGCCCAAAATTTCTGCATCTGTCACTAAAGGAACTGTTGTTAAGTTGGAGGACTACCTGTCTAGTCACTAAAACCATGGATGTCACAGCCTCTGAGTCAGCTGTTTTACCTAATTGGAAGAGACCAGTTCTGGTCTGGAACAAAAAAATAAAGAAATTCATATCTAACAATGACCTTGAGACGCTACATTGAGTTATTCTTTGGGGCTTGACAGTCAGACGTTGCAAGTTTCATCCGTCGGGTTAAGAGCTCATTTTAACAGGCATTTTTGCTCTTCGGGAAAAGACTGCTAAGATCCTGGCTTATGGTTGGTTTGGCTGGCACAGGTGCTGCCTCCATCTCTCTGCTGAATGAGGCAGCTTCCCTTGATTCAAGAGAAGTGCTGATGGGACGATTTGGGAAACTATTATATGGCACAAAAGAGCAGAAATGGGACTTGATTTGGGGTCCTTCATACTCTCTGAGTTTGGTTGTTTTCTTGCAGACGTTTCATCACCTGACTAGGGAACATCATCAGTGCTACAAAGGAGTGAGGCTTGCTCTCTGTTTCTATACAAATGGCCGTGAAGACTGAAAGGAGTCAGTTGTTAAGGCCAATTCCCGAATGGATTGGTTGATTTGCAAGGAATCTCGTTGTGTATTCACCAAATGGATACACACTTTAAAGGGATGAAACGCTACCCAGATCTGTCCTTTACGTTACAGACTCACAGCTTCTCAGAATAAAAAAAAAAGGGAACTTCTCTCGTCCCTCCTGCTTTGTGCTCCTCAGAGGAACGGCGGCCTAATAAATAAAACAGTGGACTGCGTGCTGTGGACTAAGGCACACAACGAAAGGCACATCCTTGCTATTCTTGAACCAAGATTACAAGACTAATCTGTTCAGATTAGCAGCTCATATACGACAGCCACGGTGCAGCTTAGGGCAGAGGTGGTTCCAAAACTTGAGATAATTCTCTTTGTGGTTTTGCTTCCAGGAAAACTGGGAACACCAGTAGCATCCGTGGCAATTTCTAAAGCTTCAGTTGTTCCCAAGGATGAATCTTATCTGATCCATCAGGACAAAGACCGGGCATCCTCCGAAATCTTCCAGCTTTGACCACCTGTGGCTATCCAAGGGGGTTGGGATTACAAGTCCCATCGTCCTGCCTGCTCATTAGATTTTTCTGGCTAGGGATGATGGACGCTGAAGTCCAAACGGGTGGCACACGTGGATGGAGAGATCGTGTTTTCGGTGAATTCTTTAAAAGAATATTCTTTGTTATTTATCTTTTAGCCAAGCGCTCTCCGAAATTATTCTCATTCTTTATCATGCAAAAATGTACAGACTTAACAAGGTTATGCATGAAACAAGCCCAGAAATGAACGGTGAATAAAATAATATGGTTTTTTTTACCAGAACAGGTGATATTTCTCTCTTTCCATTGCACGTTTTTGCATTTGATCTGATTCTGCCTCTCTTTCCGTAGCCGTTCGAGTCTCTGAGCTTAGAATAAAGAAAAAAAAATATGTATTATAATGTTTAAGTTTGTCAACGAAAGTTTGCGATGAACAAAAGACATAATTAACTACCTTGCTATGAATAAAGATGTTTTATGCTGTACATCTATTGGGGGGGGGGTGCATGCAATAAAATTTTAAAGGTGGCACCCCTGAAAAGCAAATACCAACAAAAACATGAAAATGTTCTTGATTTATAATTGAAATTAGAGGATATAAAACATTAATAGAGATCATAAAGATAGTATTAACATGGAAGAGAATAATAAAATGTGAAAACTTCTGTGATTAATATGACATTTCATTATATAAATCATTAATAACGGTCTTAAAGGAATTTTAATGCACAAATGAACTGAAGTGAATATTACATTACAGGAATAAAATTACTGTTATGAATTACTCTCCCCGTTTCAAAAATTAAAGATAGATGAACTCAGGCTAGACTATTAAAGTTTTAAATATAAAATCTTTTATCTAAAAAAAATCACGAAAATTATAAAATGTCAACGCTATATAAATTAGCATAGCTTTTTCTTCCCTGGGCTGGAACAGTTTATAGGTAGTAAAAATAAATGATTTGTATCTGCGCCACATTAGTCAAATCTTAAAAAACCGAATATCATTTTTCCTCTTTACATATTTTTCGAATCCACGTCCAAAACAGTCCACGCTCAAATAGGTGAAATATCAGTAACCAGGAGGCGGATGCCTTCGGAGGCACCCGGCATTCTCTCTCTGCTTTTAATGTCAGATTGATTCCAGAAGACAAAGAAGAGGAGCAGTTGGATAAACTGGTCAGGACTGGTTTTAAAAAAACAACACAAAACTCTCTCTCTGAATGTACAAACGTCCAGAAAATGACCTATTTTTTGTGTTGACGAGAAGGTGCTGTCCGAGGTCCTGATCTTTTGACAGCTAATCCTTTTTGAACCACCTTAACTGGGACCGGAATTTCCACCCCTGGTTGTTAGGGGAAACATCATTGCACCGGGACAGCAATTTTAGGAGTCCCAGTAGCGGTCATTATTGGAGGACTGCGCTGTCATTAGATGAGGACCAGGTACCGGTTTTTAGGTTAAATCCATCCAGTTCTTGAGCCAGCGAAAAACATCAGTTCAGACAAAGGGGTCTCTCTCTCTCGTTCTCCTAAAGCTGGGAGAAAGTCAGCGGAGGTCCCCATTTGGTTATTTCCAATAAAGGAGAATATTTGTAGCTCAGGGTTGAAATGAGGGGTCCTTGGTATTCTCTGGAGCCTGGTTGTTTTCTTGCGGACGTTTTATTACCCAACTAGGCAACATCATCAGTTCCAATGAATGTGAATTGCTCCCTCTTTATATATAGCAGCTCTGAGCTTGGTTGTTTTCTTGCAGACGTTTCATTGCCCAACTAGGTAACATCATCAGTGCCAGAAAGGAGTGCCATTTGCTTTCTGTTTATATCCAATATAATCCTGCTCCCTTCTAGCACTGATGACGTTGCCTAGTTTGGGTAATGAAACGTCTGCAAGAGAACCACCAAGCTCAGAGAGCACCAAGGACCCCACAGTCCTCCTCCCCTCCCCATAAACCCAACTCCCTTCTAGCACGGATGATGTTACCTAGTTTGGGTCATGAAACGTCTGCAAGAAAGCAGTCAAGTTCAGAAGGCACCAAGGAGCCCTAATTTAGTTATTTTTCCCCCTCCCGTAGACTGTTTATTTAGCTCCACCCAAAACACAGTTCCCAACAAATACGGAAACAGGTCTTTCCGTGGGGGGAGAAAAAAAAATGCACACCCTTTGTTACTTGATTCCTGTAACTGGAGACGTCTGGAGTTGACCCAGGTATCTTATGATGCCTCCCTCTTTACATCCCAGCCTCATCCTAGGAAGACAAACCCCCACACACACCCCCCAAGATGCTCTCTGCACAACTCACCTGTATTTGAGCGCCTTCGAATGCCGAAGTCCCAGCTTGAGGTAATGTCCACGGACTGAGAATACATATAACCCTGAGGTTCGCCGTTGCCGCTGGATCCTTCCGAGCTGTCGTCCCCATTGGCCGAAGCCGGGTGGAATCTTTCCAGGTCGACGTCCTGGTCGATGAGGACCATTTCACACATCCCCGTGTCATCGCTGGTCACGTGCGACTGCCGGATGTGAGCCAGGATAATAGCCGGGTTGTCCAAGAAAGCCATCCTACTCTGCCAGGTTCTGTTGCCTTCCCCTACTATCTTCTCTGATCCATGCTGAACCAACGTCTTCTCTACCTGCTGGAGGAAACACAGGACAGACGCCAGAGGGGACAAGCTTAGGAAACGACTGGGTGCCAAATGGGATTGTAGGGAGTCCTTGACTCACAACCGCTCAAAGTTACAAAAAGGGACTCGTGGCTGTTTTTCACACTTGATGACCGTTGAAGCATCCCCATGATTGCGTAATCAAAATTCGGACGCTGGGCAACTGACTCCTATTGAGGACGGTTGCAGCATCCGGGGGGGGAGGGGGGGATCACGTGATTCCCCTTTTGCAGGTTCCCTTAACAACCATGTTACTCATTTAATGCCCCTCAGAATGGAACGGGACAACTGGCCGCGGGTCCATTGAGCAATTCAATTTAATTTATTTAAAATAAATTAAAAAAATATATTTTCATTGTTGTCCTTTGCGCATTTCGCTTCGTCCTTCCTTTCGCCTCTTTTCTTTCATGATTCAATTTCATCATTTCTTTGATACTGGTGTAATAAGTAGTTGCTCCCCCTCTTTGCCCCACAATAACCCCCCAGCGAAGTGGGCTGGGCTGAGAGGGGGGGACTGGACGGAAGTCACCCAGCTGGTTTTCATGTATAAGGTGGGACTAGAACTCACCGTCTCCTGGGGATTGACCCCCCCCAAATCACCCAGCCATCTTTCGTACCCAAGGTGGGACTAGAACTCACAGTCTCCTGGTGAGTGACCCAGAGTCACCCAGCTGGCTTTCGTGGATAAGGTGAGACTAGGACTCACAGTCTCCTGGTCATTGACCCCCAAATCACCCAGCCATCTTTCGTACCCAAGGTGGGACTAGAATTCACAGTCTCCTGGTGAGTGACCCAGAGTCACCCAGCTGGCTTTCGTGGATAAGGTGAGACTAGGACTCACAGTCTCCTGGTCATTGACCCCCAAATCACCCAGCCATCTTTCGTACCCAAGGTGGGACTAGAACTCACAGTCTCCTGGTGAGTGACCCAGAGTCACCCAGCTGGCTTTCGTGGATAAGGTGAGACTAGGACTCACAGTCTCCTGGTGATTGACCCACAAATCACCCAGCCATCTTTCGTGCCCAAGGTGGGACTAGAACTCAGAGTCTCCTGGTGAGTGACCCAGAGTCACCCAGCTGGCTTTCGTGGATAAGGTGAGACTAGAATTCACAATCTCCTGGTTTCACTACACCAGATGGGCTCTTTATAACATGGCACATGTGTCAGCAGAGTTTACCTGCTTACAAAATCTCCTAAGAAGGGCTGCTACCCACTTAAAAAGGTGTGAGTGGTTGACTTTGTTTCTA